GGCTGTGACTTGCCCTGAGTGCAGAGCCCTGGGTAGGACTAAATGGGGGCCCGGGGCGGAGGTCTCCTGACTCTCAGTCCTGCTCCTGTCCCGTTGCCAGTGTCTCCCGGGAAGGTGACCCCATGGCCTCTCACCTCCCTCAGGCCGGTGTTTGAGTTTTCTGATGCTCCTGGGCAGGAAGTTCTTCCTCATTTATAGCCCAGATCCTCAAGCTTTATTCTAAGCCCCATTTTCTTTTATAACTTCCTCAGTAAACACAGGGAAGTAGCCAAAGGCACTTAGAGAGCGTTTGGCTTGCTGCCAGCAAGGCGGTCTCACACATTCAACAGCAGGGGGTTGTTTGGATCCCTTGGCAGCTCCGCTCTCCTCCTCAGAAATCCTGAACTAAACCTCCAAACTCCTTTTTCCCTGAATCATGCAACCCCTGGATCTGAAAACCAAGATGACCCCTCCCCTCACCATCTGGCTCCTGAAATCCACTTTCCAGTGCCCCAGTGTTACCTAAACAGGCAGGAGGTCGCTCACAAGTAGACAGATGCTTTCCTCTGATACCCCTTAAGTCCCTCTGGGCTGCAGGCGCAAAGCTAGGCTTTGGAGGATGAGGGAGCAGGGTGGGTAGTTGAAAAAATGTGGCAACTGAACTCTAATCCAGGCTGTGTGGTCAGCAGAGGAAACTGCAGGTCTGAGGCCAGTTCGCAGGACCCCATGTGAGTGTCTTGCCCTGGTGCCCTGTGAGCAGATGCAGATTATGGTTCTGACTTTTGTCACCTGTGTCTCACCTTCTCCGACCAAGTCTCCTTGAGCGCCAAATCCTTCTTCTGGCCTGAGGTTAGGACAGAGGCAGGGCAGGAGGTCCGGATGAGACTCTCCCCCGTGTTGGGGGCCTCTCTCCTTCCCTTGACCCTCGGGCAGCCTGCCTTCCACTGGGTGAGTCTTCTCACTTCCCGCCCAGAATACAGCCCCAAGCTCCTGGGGAGGGGTAAGGAGGGGATTCTCTGATGGAAGGGTACCGGCTGTTCTCCAGATTAGAGTGGCGTTAGACTGCAGGGGAAAAGACTTTTTCTCTCCAGGGCAAAAGATATTCTGTCCAACACGGAGGCCCAGAAAAGACTGCAGCCGGGGAGGTTGTGAGGTCCAGGAAGGTGCCTGTCTTGTGAAATTGGCGCCTGCTGTTGGGGCGCACCAGCCTGAAGTCACAGATGGTCAGAGTACGAAAAGTTGTCATCACACGGGAACAATCTTGACTCAGTACCTGCCCAAGGATTACACCCGGCGTCTCACTCCTCCCACAACTCAGGGAAGCAGGTTCCTTCTCTTCTTTTCACAGAGGAGGAGCTCACATTCAGGGGCTCAGTGACTCACTCACAGTCACACAGCCAGGGGGCGGCCACACCAGGTTTCAGGCACAGTCTCTCTGATTCCAGAGTGTACACACTTCCCTACTACCTGTGCTCTGTGGGGCACGGCAGAAAGAGAGCTAAGGAGAGGAGGGGATCCGGGCTTTGGGAGCTCCAGGAGGGTCCGCCAGACAGCACAGGGCCCGCCGGGGGTGTTGTGGCAGTGCCAGGACCGCAGTTCAGTGTTACTGAGGAGGGAGAAGGAGCTGTGTGGGAGCTGACAACTCCTCCTTTCCCATCCCCCCAGGTGCCCTACACTTGGGATTTCACCAGTCCCTTCGAGCCCGTGGTTTGCCACACTGGGAATCTGCCTGGTTTACAGGGAAGAGACTGCCTTCCCACCACCGGCCTCAGCTTCTCCAAAGCCTACCGACCAGTTCGGTGAGGTCAGGCCCTCGCTGAATACCGAACAAGCCCACTGAGTCAATTTGTGCATTTTATTGCACATACAGTAAACGTGACTAAACCCCAGCTGTGACTCTTTCTGGGACTGAGAACCCCCCAACAAGTTTAACTGATGCATCAGCATCATAATAATAAAGACTCCAAGGTACCAGAGGCTTTATCTTTAGAGACTCACGAACTTTCTTTCCTTCCTCACTTCCCTACCTTCCCAGGCAAAAAGTCAACCCAGGCAAAAAGCCAAACACTTTTTTGAGAGAGAAGAGAAGCCCAGGCCTGATGCAATGCAAGATCTTAGAGCAGGAAGGATTTGGGTCGACAAGAAATTCCTCACAGGCGAGGCGGTTGCACACTGGAATGGTGTGGCGGGTCCCTGGCCCCGCCTCTGCTCGGCACTCCTTGAAGTTCCAGCTAGTTGCACACAGTCCAGGCATGGAAACTGCAGGTGATGCAGGGAATCTTAAGTGGTGGTTGCTAGGTTACAAGCTTCCTCAAAGTGCACTCACAGCAAAGACTAAAGGATGTCACCTGGCGAGAGGAACAGCCGTGGTGGAAGGAAGAGTCGGGGCGGAAGGAGTGGGGAAGATGAAGAGAAGCTGGGACTTCCAGAACAAGCAATTGGGCCACGGCCCGAAGACATCCTGTTCTTTCTATTTCCCACAGGCCTGAGTCCCTACGTCCCATGATCCTCATGGAGGATGGTGCCTGTGAGACATGAGCATTGGGTTGGAAATGGGCCTTTTCTGGGGCAGGATTCCAGCTCCGGGATTCCTTTTCCAGCCCTGCTGCCAAGCACAAATAGTATGGGATGGGGGGAGACTTTGGGGTTTGGGCTCCTGCCTTCACTGTAACTGGACAAAAAGCCAGGTGACAGCCAGTAAGCTTGCTGTCCTTAATAATGTACAATTCTTTCATTTGGCATTTCAGTGTGGTCAAGTGGAAGTCACAAACCAGACTCCCCCCAGCAGCTCACATGGCGAGAAGTCAGTTACTTCATTTCCCTAAATCTCAGCCCCTCGTCTGTAAAAAGCAGATACTGACACCTGCCCTTGAGACCTTTCCCAGGATTGTTTTAAGATTATGAGAAAATGACTCTGGCTGGCGTGGCTCAGTTGGTTAGAGCATCATCCTGTAAACCAAAAGGTCATGGATTCGATTCCTGGTCAGGGCTTGTACATCCCAAATCAATGGATATACCTTCGGGTGAGGCTTGAAAGAAAGATTCTGAGAATAGGAAGTGCAAGGGCTTAGTTGAACTCAATGAGCTGGGCAAACGAAGTGGTATGGAACTCCGTCCAGCTGCTCATAAAGTGCCCCAGCAGGGAGCGGGGTGGGCCACAGGAAGCCACAGCTCACTGCTTTGGTGGGAGGCTCAGTGGGCAAGAGAGGCTGAAGAAGGACCGAAACTGGCTTCTTTGAGGACGATCTATGGCTTTAAATCTTCCCGATTTTGTGAACACAGTTCAAGTTGAGGGTTGAGGGTTTGTTCTCTATTCCTCTGAGCAGATTGTGATCCCTAGGAAAAAGAGAAATGTTTCCTGTGAAAACTTCATTAATTCAGAACACATTCTTTTGGAATTTATGAGTTCTTAATGAATAGAGAAAACAGAACACAGCATTCCTCTGTGAAGGTCCCAGAGCTGCTTACTCTGTAAGTACAGAGAATTCAAACTGAAAACAGTGCACTTTCTAAGGTAAGGGCCCAAGACATTGAAGTGGGCCTGTGGTGAGCTGTGACTTTGGTCTCTCACAGGAAGTCATTTCTAAGTAAGGGGCAAAACATGTGTGTTTGTTCTCAGTTAATAGTGATGTACCAGGCCCCCGCTGTATCACAAGCTAACAGAACACTTTGCGAATAATATCTCATTTAATCTTCACAGAAGTCTACAGGGATATATCTACAGTACGGAATGCTACTCAGAAATAAAAAGGAATGAACTATTGGTACAGGCCACACAACTTGAATGTATCTCCACAGAATTCTGCTGGGGGAGGAGAAACCAATCCCCAAAGGTTATACATACTGTATGATTCTACTCATATAACATTGTTGAAGTGACAGAACTATGGGAATGGAGGACAGATGTGTGTGTGCCAGGGGCTGGGGAGAAAGAGGCGGAGCAGAAGGAGGTGTGGCTACAAAGAGCAACATGCAGAATCCCCGTAGTGATGGGAATGCCCTGTATCTTCAGGGGCAATTTCCATATACTGGTTGTGGTACTGCGCTTTAAGTTTTGCAAGATATTACCATCAAGGAAACTAAGTAATGGTGTTATTTCTTACAACTGCATGTGAAACTACAATTCATCTAAAAATAAAAAGGTTAATTAAAATAATAGAAGAAAACTGGGGCTTTGAGTAATTAATTAATTTCAGAGCCAGAATTCAAACCTAGGTGTCTCAGATCCCCAACCCTGAGCATCTCAAGACTTGGCTATGGTCACGTAGGACAAGGACCCCACAGGCCTTGCAGTCCGTCGGACCAGGTCGCCGCTGGAGTCACAGGCAGCTTTGTCACTGCGGACTACTGTCCTGAAAAGGCTTCTAGGGAGGGGCTTCGAAGAGTTATTTGGCAAGCCCTGTGGGCTGGTGCTAGGACTGGATATCCACGTTAGCCCTTCCCAAAGTGTATGAAGAAGGGGGTGGGGGAGGGACAGCCCATGAGTGTGTCTTTGTTGTTGTCTCTGGCTGTGTGTCCACACATTGGTGCATCTGTCAGTTTCTCCGTGGACACGTCTATTTGTGGGGGTGGAAGGAGGTGGTGTGTTAAGTATGCACATATATGCTGGTTGGTGCTGACTTCTTTGGATGCACCTGGGTCAGGTCTGCGTAGATCGCACCCACGTCAGTTGATTCTATTAGGTTAAACCATTTGATAATAGCTCCCCCTAAGCAAAGCTGACTATGGAGCCAGCCTGCCAGGAGCTGAGTCTGTGTACTGTAGATAATCTGGGTAATTGGACTCTCTCCGCCCCTCCATCCAAAACAAACATTCACAAACCTCCCACCCCCACACTGGAGGGAGTCTGGCCCCGGCATCTGGGTACTTAATGCCCTGATAACCCTGCTGTAGACAAGGTGAGCTGCTCCAGGCCCCTTCCCTCCCCCGCAGGCCCAGAGCCACCAGGGCTTATGTAAAAAGGTCACGGCTGTTCCGCCGTGGTGCACGCGGACTCCTGCACAGGTGTGGTGGCGGCTGTGGGTGGGGATGCATGCGCCAGGCTGGCTAGCCGGCCTCCTCCCCCGCGGCAGCCCCTCTTCTTCCTGCTGTTCATTTATTCTCTTCCTCTGCATATCGAACAGCGAACAGCGGGGTGCGGACTGGGGAAGGACAGAGCGCTCGTCCCTTGTTCCCTGAGCCGCTGGGCTGGGGCTCCCGGCTCTCGGGTGATGTGCTGTCTGCGCCTCGCGCCAAGCTGCTCCGCCAGGCTGGGTAAGTGGCGTGGGGGAGGGGACGGGAGACCGCTGGGAGGGGGAGACAGGTAGAGGTGGGAGGTGTGGACGCCCAAAGGTGTTAACTCCTTGCTTAGCTGAGCAAAGCCGTGAACTCGGAACCGAGAAGGCCCCTGCCCCACCCATCAAGACCCACGAACCCCGCGCTCCCTGCGCCCCCGCAGGTTTCCAATAAACAGTCTGGTAGGGGTGGAGGACAAAACGTTACAGGGGGTGACGCCACGGCGGGGTGGCGCCCTTGGCCGAGGAGTCCTTCCTTTAAAGTTCTCCCGGGGACTGCCTTCCACCCCGCTGCCCCACTGCGCGTGCTAGGGCGCGTGGCATGACCGCCCTTGACTCGCCAGGTTTCTCCCTCAGGGCCCAGCGTGGACGCCACGGGACTGCTGAGTCTTGAAAGACCGTGAAGCGCTGGCCGGCGTCGGGGCCCTTGCTGGACCACGGGAGTGGGATGGAGGCGGCGAGAGGGGACGGGGAGTAGCCGGCGCCTTGGTTCCCCCACCACCGGTGGCTCCCACTTCTGTCACTGCCCTGGCGCTCCGCAGAGAGGGGGCGCGGCGGGAGGGGCCTCCGGGGCTGCCATGGAGGTGCCCGAAGTCAAGGACTTCCAGTGGAAGCGCCTGGCGCCACTGCCCAGCCGCCGGGTGTACTGCGCCCTGCTGGAGACTGGGGGACAGGTCTATGCCATCGGGGGATGCGATGACAATGGTGTCCCCAGGGACTGCTTTGAGGTCTACTCCCCCGAGGCCGACCAGTGGACCGCCCTGCCCCCGCTGCCCACAGCCCGGGCTGGGGTGGCCATCACCGCTCTGGGGAAGAGGATCATGGTGATTGGGGGTGTGGGCACTAATCAGCTGCCTGTGAAGGTTGTGGAGATGTACAACATCGATGAGGGCAAGTGGAAGAAGAGGAGCGTGCTGCGCGAGGCCGCCATGGGCATTTCTGTCACGGCCAAAGGCAAGTGGGGCAAGGGCTGAGGGTGGGTGGAGAGAAGGAATTGGGGAGACCGTGGGGAAAGGGATAGGAGCCAGCGCTGAGTCTGGACCCACTATCGCATTTGATCCTTAAAATAGATACTGAAAGTAGAGACCCAGTGGCCTTATTTTACAGATGGGAAAACTGAGTCTCATCAAGTGAAGTGTCTAGTAATTCCATACGATGCCAGATCTCCACGCCACCAGGCTCCCCCTGACAAACTGGGCAGGCTGGGCCAGAAGGGAGAGCTGGAGGTCAGTGCAATGGCTACGCAGACCCCCTCACTCAGCAGAATGGTGGAGCCTACCATCCACGACACCCCAGCCCCTGAACCTGCCACCTCTCCAGGTGCCTTGCACCTGCCACCTCTCCAGACACATATTTGGGGTCCTGGGGATGTTCCCACCATACTGCCCCATCACCAGGCCCCACTGAGGCCACTTTTGGACCTGATTCCAGGGCCCCCTCCCCACCCTCACGTTCTCCCTCTGTCTCCTAATCCGAGATACTGATAAGGCACCCTGCCCGCCTTGAGTCCTCAGGGCTGGTGTGTGTGCTGACCATGTGGTTGTATGATTCTCATTGCGCTTTCTCCAAGTCCCTACTTTCCTTCTCTTCTGGCCTGGAACAGCCCTGAGCATAGACAGGGCTCCAAAAGTTCTTTTGCTAAAACACAAAGGCTTTTATGGGAAGTGGTCCAGTAGGAATTAGAAGACTCCCAAATCCAGACGGGCTTCATGGGATGCAACCTTCCCTCCTTCTCCTGCGAAATCATCCAGCTGCCTGCTGGGGTCTGCCATAGAGCAGGAACCAGTATAGCGCCTGCTCTGTCCCTGGCACAGGTCCAGGTTCCAGGGAGGAGAAAAAGAGGCAGGAGGTCTAGTCTCTGCCTTCAGGAGGCCAGGTCTGACCAAGGAAGGGGACCAGAGAGAAGCTCTAGCCCAGAATCCTTCAGGGCAGAGTGGTCAGTGGAGCCTCCACAAACTCCCAGTAAGAAGGATGGAAGGCGTGAAGGACCATGGGGTAACGGGGCCGGGGAAGTACACCTTTATCCCCAGGTCTCAGTGAATGGTGCTGAAGGATTAATAACTAACATTTATTGAGTCCTCACCATGTGTGTTTTATATATATTAAGGTCTTTGATCCCCACAACCTGTCCGATGAGGTAAGATTATGATCCTGATTTAGAGAGAAGCAATGGGAGGCCCAGAGAAGTTAAAAAGCTTGCCCACGGTTGCACAGTAAGTGATGACTGAATCTGTGCCCTTAATGATGGCATTGAATGGATCCATCAATGGCTTTAATAAGCATGTATATGCCTCCATGGCAGGCATTGTACCAGATGCCAGGTCATAACAAATGCTCAATGACTTACAGTCTATTGGAAAAAACACACAGGTCATGTCAGTAACATGTGGTGACTAGAGGGAGGCAGGTGTCCTGGCCAGCACTGTGCTGGTGCCCTGGTCCAGCCTTGGCGTTCAGGGACACCAGGCGCATATGGAGGATGAGTGGAGGGTCCTGGAGGAGTCCCTGCTGGTGGGGTGTTTCAGTGGCATGGGTTGGGGGTGGAGCTTGTATAAGGTAAATTTATTAGCAGGTCCCATCGCAGCCTCAGGAGAGGGGTGGGATTTTTTCTTTCTTTTTTTTCAGTGAGATTGGAAAGTAGAAGGAAACAGTATTCATTCCTTAACTAGTCTTGAAGAACAAAGGCCCCTTAGAGTCAGAGTGGTGAGGGCTGACCTCTAGGAGGCTGGAAGCTGGGAGGTGGGAGCGGGTCCCTGGGACAGAGAGAGCCCTGTGGGGGCCCATGTCCCTGACAGACTGTGGGAGGGACTGGGGTGAGGCCCAGGGGCACCTTGGTGCCTTGCCCGTCCTTGAAAAGCCACCTGCAGCTGACAGCGTAGAGCACGCGGGACCACTGCTCTTCCCAGAGTGCTTAGCTTGCGGCCTGGGCAGGGTTTCCTGAAGGGGCCATTTTCTCTCCTCCAAGCCTCACTTTCAGTCACCCTTCTCCTTTCCCGTTTAGTGTAAGTGCCCCCTAGAGACCACAGGCTTCCCAGTAGGTGAAGGAGGATGGCGTTCCTCCACGGAGAGGACAGACAGCAAAGGAAGCAGCACCAGTCCGGTGTCCCACAAGGCCAGTGACAGCAGGGCCGACCTCATTTCCAAGGGCTCCTGCTGGCTCTTCAAAGTTCCAGTCTTGGAGTGCCTGGGCTGTGCCACTTCTGGGGGGATATAAGAGCAATGCCCCTCCTCGTTTGCATCCCCTCTGGCTGCCCGGGAAGGAGGAGAATGGAGGGAGCAAGGCCTGCAAAGGATTGTCCAGGTCTAGACCCCACTGCAGTTTGCTCCTGTGAGAGGCTTAGTGTTTGGGGCTCAGCTAAGGGCTGGGCACCTAGGAGGCCTGACACGGCTTCAGGGAGTCCCAGCGACAGCAGGGGCCCGAACATTGCCTCAACCCCACTGGCGTACATGTGGCTCACTCTGGCAGAGCGGCTGTCAGGACCCCACCTGGCTTCAGTGCTTGTGGTCGGTGGTGTGTACTGATAGGCCTGTCTCGTGGTGGCCATGAGCTGAGCCAGGGGTTGCGTGTGACCTTTTTCTTTAGATTACCGAGTGTACGCGGCAGGTGGGATGGGCCTGGACCTCCGTCCACACAACCACCTTCAACACTATGACATGCTCAAGGACATGTGGGTGTCGCTAGCACCCATGCCCACCCCGAGATATGCTGCCACCTCTTTCCTTCAAGGTTCCAAGATCTATGTGCTGGGTAAGGACGGGTTGTCTGTCCCACACTGATCCCTCCTTCCCTCCCCTGGACCATTTCCCATGGGAAGTGATGCCTGTGTGTGCTGTCTGGGCACTGGAGGGTAAGCATGTGGCCCCAACCCTCAGGGGGCTTCTGTGGAATCAGTAACAGTCAGAAGGAAAGTCCAGTCCCTGTCCTCAGGGGCTTACTCTTCTGCCCAAGCCCCACCCTGTTCTGTTCTCCAGGAGGACGACAGTCCAAGTACGCAGTCAATGCCTTTGAGGTCTTTGACACTGAGACTCGCTCCTGGACCAAGTTCCCCAGCATGCCCTGTAAGCGGGCCTTCTCCAGCTTTGTGACCCTGGATGACCGCCTGTACAGCCTGGGAGGCCTGCGGCAGGGCCGGCTGTACCGACAGCCCAAGTTTCTCCGGACCATGGACGTGTTTGACATGGAACAGGGTGAGCCAGGTGCTGCTTGTCTCTGGCAGCTTCCCCACACTGTACATCTGTCCCATTCAGCCCCCCAGAGCCACTTGCCCAGCTGGGTGAGCCTATCAGAAGTCTAAACACCCCTCTCCATTCAGGGATACTCTTGGGACCAAATACTCCTGTATGGGGCTCCCTTTGGGGGTTGGTAGTTTTTGTCAAAGCTTTTTCCACCTATTGTCTCTTCTTAACACCGTCCAGGCAGGCCAGGCGAGGGAGGGCTCTCCTGCTTTCACTCATGGGGGATCAGAAGAATCCTGTGCTCATGGCCTCTAGTTAGATTTTCTCCAGCTCCGAGCCTGCGAGAACAGAGGAGGAACAGGGCACTTGTTGTGGGGACTGCCATTCGAAGACGGCGGCAAACGTGGGAGAGGGTGGAAGCCATGGAGGGTGACAGCAACGTGGGAGAGGGTGGAAGCCATGGAGGGTGACAGCAGGACCTTGTGTATGTCCCAAGCACAAAGGGCAGATGGAGTGGGGACTCTGCTGAGGGGGACAGCTGATTGGGGCTCGGCGTGTACTGGGGGTGCTGGGGTAGCATCTAATTCTCTTTATGTCTTGCTCTCATCCATGCCTGTAGGGGGGTGGTTGAAGATGGAACGCTCCTTCTTCCTCAAGAAGCGGCGCGCAGACTTTGTGGCCGGCTCTCTGAGTGGACGGGTCATAGTGGCTGGCGGCCTTGGTAAGGATGGAGCTCCCGGGCTGGTACCGTGGTCCTGGTGCTTGGTGGTTCGTGGGCACTCTGCCGGAGCAGCAGCAGGTGCTGGCTCCTTGCACACCGTCTGCCTAACGCTTCATTCCAAAGAATCTAAAACATTCCCATCTAGTCTATGTCCACATATGGGCCCCAGATGTAGTCTTTCTGCCCTCTTGCACAGGGGACACTGAGGCCCAGAGAGCGTAAGCGACATACTGATGACCGTGTTATACAGGGGTGCTTAGCACAGACCCCTGGTGGCCCCAGCCAGGAATGACGCACACAGACCTGTGGCAGGGACTGGCCTTGGTCCTTTCTCTGACCATCTCTTCCCCTAGGATACGTAGCCCTGTCGTGGAATGGGAAAGCAGTTCGATCAAATGTTAGTGGGATGAGTCCAGGGCTTACTGAGTTACCCTTCCAGTGGTTAGTGGTGGTTTGTAGGCAGAACCCCGACATCAACAGGGAAAGAGATGCGGGCAGCGGGCCTCCAGACACTTGTGTGGGCAGACTCCATTTCACCAGCTCGTGAATGGGGCACGGTGTGAGCTAGACCACATGGGCCACTTCTTTGTACAAGGCAGGAGGGAGGCAACAGTGTCCAGAAACTTCTGATAAGAGCAAGAGGATGGTGAAAGAAAGCTTCCTGGTGAAGAGGCAAGAAGCTGGAAGGTGGGAGGGGCAACATGGCTGTTTGACCAAAGCTACTGGCCTCAGGTTGGGAGGAGCCAGGCGGAAGTTGAGGTTGCTTGGCTTCTGCAGGTGGGAGTGAGGGAGGTGGGGTGAGTGCAAGGCATGGATTGGTGGCTGGACTCCTTCGTAAGTTCCGGTTCCCTTTCAGGGAACCAACCCACTGTCCTGGAGACTGCGGAGGCGTTCCACCCTGGGAAGAACAAATGGGAGGTGCTCCCGGCCATGCCCACGCCCCGCTGCGCCTGCTCCAGCGTCGTGGTCAAGAACTGCCTCCTGGCTGTGGGGGGTGTCAACCAGGGTCTGAGTGACGCGGTGGAAGCCCTGTGTGTCTTGGACTCCTAGCTGTACCCGGCCCAGTGCCTTTGCCCTGGACCTGATCACCAGACTCCTGACGAGAGGAATGCTGTTGTCCAGACGATCTGGGCTACTTCCAGATGCCACCTCCTATCAGCAGCCAGTAGGGCCAGGCTCTGGGGCTCAAGTTGCCTCCCTCCAGCTCCTAACCCTCCCAATACTAGGAAACCCTAAGAAGTCCCAGTGATCACCAGCCCTGGGTTGGAGCTCAGCGGACTTCTGGGGAGAGTCCTCACTCTGCTCAAGCAGAGCAATGCGCAACTATCTGCTACCTGCCCTTCCGTGAGGCCCATCGCTCATCTCCAACAGAGTTCTGACCCGGAGGGTGAGCTGCTGCTTCTGTCCTTCCCCCAGGGCTCAGCTAGTTTGAGGATCTCTTAGGAGGAAAATGGAGAAGGGCTGCGGCTTCCCCAATGCCCCCGCGCTCCCTTGGTCTACATCCCCTTCCCGCTGGTGGTCAGTTCTCCCCTGGACCTCATCTACTCAGCAAGAATTGGCCGTTGAGCTAGGGACAGCTGAACTGGAAGGGAAGGATTGAACCCACGCCTCTCCAGGGTCCTCCCGGGCCAGTGATGCTGGGGAAGGAACAGACTGCAGCCCGTGCTCCACTCACTCCGCCCCTCCTCCTGCCGCCCCTTATCCCACTAGCCCCAGAGTGTTTCTGCGTGAAACCTCATTTACACTGTGGCATCAAAATCCACAGAGGACCGATGAATTGCACTCTGGTTAACAGCAGCAGCACAAGAATTAAAATCTATATTCCTATCTTTTCTGGCCTCTTGGTGCAGGGGTGGGGCAGACCGGTGTCTGGATGCGCAGAGAGGACCCCACAAACAGTCCCCTCTGGCAGTCTCAAGCTAAATAGGGCCCCAGGAGACCGCCTGTTCTTGGTTGCTCCCTCTGAGGAGGGTTCGCTTTGACACCACTGTGCCCCCCACCAGCCACCTCACTTGCAAAACAGCGTGGTTTCCTCCTCAAACGCACTGAGACTGTACGTGCTAGGAAGCACTGCATGCGGTAACTGACTTCTTCAGGTCACTGCTCACAGCCACACTCAACCTCAATTGGTTCGGCTTCAGCGCATTTCCGTCTGGCCCCCAAATCTTGAAGAACATGCCTCCTTTGAGCTTATATAGCATTTCTCTCCAACTCCCAGCAGGTTTTCAATGCTGACCTAGCACCAGGGATACAAATCTGAAACAGCCTGCTCCTGGGGGCTGCAGGGAAGCCAGGCAACGCTGTGCGGGGCATTGGCTGTTCCTGGTGAGGCAGGAACACAGGAAGAGCAACCGCCTGTCTGGCTGAGGGCAGAGTTCCCTGGGGGAGGCGACTCCCCCGCGGAGCTGCACAAACGGACCTGGGACTGCACGAGTGGGGGCTTTTCTCCTGGTCTCGGACACCCGGCCTTTGTCCTTCCTTGGGCCCTGCAAGGGCACTGCCACCTGCTGGCCCAGACTTGCCTTCCCACCCAGCTGGAGGCACCCTGTGGCCACAGCTGCGCCCCCCCCCCCCCCCCCGCCAGCTAGCCCACTGTAGAGAGGCCTTTTCTATTGATTCTGGATGTCCCATTTCAGTTCAGCCCCCAAAATAACTGCTAGAAAATGGGGCTGCAGGCACTCTAAGGGTGGGGTGACACGTTAGAGGGTCTGTTCACAGTCTAGCGCTGGTCTGGCCTCCCCATTCCACCTCCATCTTTCCTAGAGGAAGCCAAGCTTAGCATGTGGGTGTGTGATTTCCATGTGCACAAAATGCTACCAGATGGTGGGTGAGACTGAGGTGTTTCAAATCGGCCAAAAGAGCCCTGGCCAGTGTGGCTTGCTTTGAGCATCATGCCAAACACTGAAAGGCTGTGGGTTCAATCCCCGGTTTGGGCGCATATGGAAGACAACCAATTGATGTTTCCCTTTCTCCTCCTCTCTCTCTAAAATCAAACATATTTTTGAAAAATTAAGAAAAATAAAATGGTTGAAACCTTAGGGGTACAGCCAGCCCTACAAGTTTCTTCCTGTTATAAGAACGGGGGATTAGCCCCTGGAACCGAGAGGGCCACTCAGGGCCAAAGCTGGCGCCGGCTGGGGACCTGCCCCATGGAGGTCCATGCTTAGGAGGTCTAGGGGGTGCCTGGGAAATAGGAAATGCAGTGGCAAGTCTCATGACCATGCCTCATGGGGCCACAGAGGTGGCTTAGGACCTAGGGTTGGCTGTGATGGCTTCAGGCCTCACCTCCCCAACCACAACAGACTTTCCTGTCTCCATCTACTCTGAAGCCCCCCCGTTGTCTTCATTTCCCAACCTATTTAAAAAAGCCACCATGATGCCGTCTCACAAGGTGATAGAGCCCCTGCGTCTCCCAGGTCAATGCTGTGAGGTAAGCAGCATCGCCCGTTTTGCAGATGAGAACATGAAAGCTTGAAGAGGTTATATAACATGTCCAAGGTCACAGTAAGTGACTGAACCAGGTCTGAAACTAAAACTCAGGACCACCGCACTGCCTCGCCCTGGATGAAATAGCACCAGGGAAGTGCAGACGATCCACTGCACGGAGCCAGGGAAGGGGCCCCATTGCCAAACCTCGAAGGGTAGACGCTGTCCCAAGGAATTAGCCAGGAGAGATTGGGAAGGACTAACGTGAACGGAGCATGGACTCTCCCTGGACTTGTAGCCCAGGAAAGCCCCCTTCTGGCTCTTCTACTCCACCGCCTATTCCAGGGTGAAACCAGCCTGGATGCTCATCACGTGCCTGGCTCAGGACTTGACTCCAGATTCCTGCTGTCAAGCAGCTGCAGTCTTGAGAGGGAGAGGGGACTAAAGCTGCCGTTGCTGTTTAATGAGATAGCTGTTGGCCTTTGCTAGTGCAGCCCGAAGGCACCTCACCCATGGTGGCTGGCTACAGAGAGCCCAGGTGAACTGAGGATGTCAGGGCAGGGCTCCAGAAAATAAATCTTACACCACACTTTGAAAGAAGAGGGAGACCAGCAGGGCTTCCAGGCAAGAGAGATGGACTGAACCATGGCTGTCACATGCTGATTGCTCCTGGGCTGCTATTAACCTCTGAGTCTCAGTTTCCAAGGCCTCGCTGTGAGGTTACTTTACATAAAATGATTCACCTGTATCAGGTGAGTGGCTACAATGTTATTTCTGCTGTTGATGGAGAGGTAAAGGGGTTCACAAGCTACTGGGGGAAGGGTTTGCTGGGGGACCAGCAGCACATAGAGAGTCTCTGGAGGTGGGGCCAGCAGTGCAGACAGGCAGATCAACATTGGCCTTAGGTGTCCTGCTTAGGAGTCTAGACGTCATCCACATTGGAAATTGGGAGCAAATTGAAGGTTTTAAGTGGAGGAGCATCGTGATCAGATTAGTGCCACTGGAACATGGAATATTCGGAGTTTTCTCTTCTGAGAAAAACGAAGTCAAGTGAAACCACCAAGGGCACCATCTAAGATTAGGAATAACTGCAGCTGAGGTTGGAATCCTCAGAAAAATACGAAGGCCAAAGTTTCCAGGCCTCTCTGGAGGAGCGCCATCTGCTGGGCAATCACAGTACGGGGTGGGGGTGGGACCACAGAGAGTGGGTAAATCCCTCCCCTCCGTCACCTCATTCCCTCCAAAACTTCTTTCTAAAAACCTCCTGCATTTGCACTGGGCTTTCTGACCCACAGAGATCCCGCATGGGAGGTAAGGTGTGGCTGGCCTTTTCCAACTCCCATTTTACAGAAGAAGACACTTCGAGCCGGGAACCGGAACTAACTAACATAGGCAGTGCGGCTGCTAAGGCTGGGAAGGAAATTCTTACTTATCTCTAAAGAGTGCAAAACACTCCACCGCTGATATGAGCTCAGCGGGAGGGGCATGCAACGAGGTCTGTCAGCCATCCACACCCTCAGGTGGCCACAGAATAGGACCAAAGCCTAGAGAGAACTGCAGTTACCTGTCTGGTGAGATCAAACAGCTGTGTAGGCAGAAGCGCTGTGTTAGAATTAAGTGATGGCCCAAGACAGGCAAGAGCTGAAGAGGCCTGCACAGAAAAGGACCCAGGCTGGTTGGGCAGGTCATTTTCCAAGTGTATTCTTTTCCTCGGGCTGCTGTAACAAAATACTGCAAACCGGTGGCTTTAAGCAACAGCAATTTATTCTGTCACAGTTTTGGAAGTCTAGTGTCCCACGGTGCTAGAAGTCTGAAGTCAAGGGGGTGGAGGTGACTTCCTTGCCTCTTCCTGGCTCCTGACGGTCCCAGCAATCCTTGGTGTCCTTGCTTTACGGCAGCATAACTCCAACCTCTGCCCGTTTTTCACATGGCCTTCTCTCTTGTGTGTCTGCATCCTAATTTCTCTCCTTGTAAGAATTAGGGCCATCGTAAACCAGTATGACCTCATCTTAGTTACACTGGCATGGACCCTATTTCCAAGAGAGAGACACATTCACAAGTGCGGAGGTCAGGACTTCGATGTGCCTTTTGGAGGGACACAACTCAACACCATTAATGAAAGGATTAGTGTGACAGAAAGAGTCCCCTGAGGGCTGAGTTAATCTGGGGAGGCTTCCTGGAGGAGCCTGCTGTTATGTAACTGGGCCTGAAAGGAAGGGAGATTGGTGTGTCAAGTGCATATAGGAGTGGGAAGCGGTTTGAAAAGTGGTTATGAAGCAAGCTGGTGTCTGTGCAGCTCTTGAATAGTGAATGGGTCGATGTCTGGGGAGGAAGAGTTGGGGGAAGGTCAGCATAAGTGTGATGTGACTGTTCTTGCCTCATCTTGCAGACCCCCGCCCACCTCTTCACACCTGGCACCTACCACCCCACCCTCACCCTTGTGCAAGGAGTGCTAGAGGAGAAAGGGATAGTTTCTGAGGAAAGGGTGGCAGGTCAGCTGACTGCGAGGGCAAAATGTCTCTAGAGTGTTAGAGTGTCCGAGGTTAACTTCCTGTAGAGTTTGCATTCTCCCTTGTGATATGACCCTTTGTTTTAATGGTTTAAATTATGGGCTGTTTTTCCAAATATCCCAGTTCATTTGAGCTCCCTGCGCAGGTATGTGCCTGGTTCAAATAACCCCCAGGACCATGGTCCTAAGGATATGAAGCAGAGCACCAAGAAGTGGCCATCTACAGCCCTGAGGCCAAAGTGACGACCCTCTTCCCAAGAGCAAGGAAGCTGTTTGCAGATGGAGTGCAGCTGATGGAATTTCATAGCAGACCAACCTCCTGCAGCTGCTCCCAGCATGCTCTGGGCTGGCCTCCCCCGCACACGCGCATATACATGTCATACACACACTGACTGAGAGCAGGTGCCCGGGCGCAGAAAACTTTTAATGTGAAAGGTGAGCTGCTTCAGGTTACGCCGTCCTCACCAACATGGATTGTTCACTGTCGCTCTCTTGTATTTACACTGCAGCTCTCCCCTCCAGCCCCCGTGCCACAATTCGTCACAACGGCCAGAGGAACCTCTTGCGCCCTTGGACCCCTGTGAGCTTGGGAAAGCCTGGGATGGGTCTGCTTTACAGAGGAAGAAACTGAGACCCCAAGGAGCCCTGTGACTCCCACCATCACAAGCCTTGTAAACGGAGCCATCGGTTCTTTCTCAGATACCCTCACACGCTCAGCGCCCAGCTCCCGGCTGGCACAGAGCCAGCTCTTAGTGAGCAGGTGTGTTGGGTGGACCAGTGGATGGTTCCTTAGAGCAGCGACTTTCAACTGGAGTGCCACGCCGGTGCACTGCAAGAGTTTTTAAAACATGCAGTGTCGGAGTGTTTAGTCAGGG